CGACTTGCCGATGAACGTCGTTGATGATGCGATCTCCAAAAAAATGTCCCTAGCTTCACGAGAGCTTAGGTGTGGCTTGGATGGCCTGAGATGTTGGGCGATAATTTTGCTGAGGCTTTGCCTGGAGCTGCTGCGCCACACACACTCTAAAGTGAACTGACCGGGGTCACGGACCTCGCGTCACTTTCGCGTAGCAACTGGAAGTTCATTACGTGCACGCTTCTTGACTTGACGCCAGGCACGGCGACCTCGATTGGTCTTTTCGTCTGTCAACCTCCAACTCCCCTCCAGGCAACAGCAGCCCAACTTTCGATATAAACTTGTCGCTGCTCTCTACAACCACTCGACGAAAGACAGGTGACTGTATAAGACGTAATGCCTGATATTAGGTCATTCTTTGGGCCGAAGGGAGGCGGGCCCCCGAAGCCACTGCCAAAAAAGGTTGAGGAGCCCCCAAAGGCCCGAAGGGGCAGGAAAGTCATCGAGGATAGCGACGATGATGCCGAGCCTACTCCTGCGCCGTTAGTCAATTCCGAACCCTTGCAGTTGAAAACAAAGCTAACTCGTCCTAGGAAGCTGGCAGCGAAAGCTGCTGTCAAAAAGAAGGCTAAGTACGCGAACCATATCGCCCTCTCCGTCGAATGCCTCTAATTCCGTAGCAGAGATGAGGCTGCTAAGGGAACCGAGACCACAGCCAGCGATTACTTTGCATCATCCAAATCTTCCAAGGCGGCTAAGCCTGCACCCGCCGCAAAGCCAGATCAAGCAACTAAAGTGAAGACCGAAGTCGAGATCAGGACCAGCCCACGCAACAAGAAAACTGCTGCGAAACCTGTAGAAGTAACGCCCAAGAAGCGCGCCGCCAGGACATACACCAAAATCGAGTCCGACGACGATGCCGATGCATTCAAAGACGAAGACGACGAGGATGACGATGACATCTTTGCTGCTGATGTAAAGGGTCGCAACAAGCGAAAGACCGACGACTATGCGGAGGACGAGAGCGACGAGGATATTCAACCAAAACCGAAGCGAGTAGCCTCACGGAGTGCCGCCAATGGTACCCCAAGCAAGAGCTCAAGGGCAGCAGCTGGCACAAAGAGGCGCAAGACTCCTGACGAGGACGAGGAGGAAGAGGAGGAAGAGCAGCCGCCAAAGAAGAAAGCCCCCGCTAAGCCACGCGCTCCCAGGGCCAAGAAGGCAGACGAACCTGAAGATTCGGCTTATCAGTCGATCCTCGACAACATCCCCACTGTCCGCCCTCCGACACCTCCACCCCAGGACCCAAATGCTCCCAAGTTTGACTGGAGGAAGAATGCCGGTGGTGGCGGAAACAGCGCGGCTGTGCCTGCTAATGCAGGTGCAGCGGAACTGCCCGAAGGCGAGGATGAATGTCTCTCTGGATTGACATTCGTCTTCACCGGTGTCCTTCAAACCATCGGCCGTGAGGAAGGTCAGGCGTTGGTCAAGAAGTACGGTGGCAAAATTACTGGAGCACCAAGTAGCAAGACCAGCTATGTCGTCCTGGGAGACGATGCAGGACCCAGCAAGCTGAAGAAGATCAGGGACATGAACATCAAAACCATCAACGAGGAGGGCCTGTTCGAACTCATCAGGAAGTTGCCTGCCTATGGCGGCTCCGGCAAGGGTGCGGAGAAGGCGCGCGAGAAGAAGAAGAAAGACGAGGAGGCTATCAAGATCCAGGCATTGGAGATGGAGCGAGAGGAGAAGGCTCGGAAGGCTGCAGCAGAGAAGGCAGCCAAGCAAGCAGCCGCCGCTCGGGGGACTACAGCTGCTCCTGCCCCGACAGCAGCTCCAGTGCAGCTGTGGACATCAAAGTATGCGCCGACGGCACTCAATCATATCTGCGGCAACAAGGCGCAGGTCGAGAAGATCCAGGCTTGGTTGAGGAATTGGCAAAAGGCACGCAAGTACGACTTTCAACGGCGCGGTGCAGACGGTATGGGTGGCACGCGAGCTATCATCATCTCTGGTCCGCCCGGCATCGGCAAGACGACTGCAGCACACTTGGCTGCCAAACTCGAGGGCTTCGATGTCATTGAGAGCAACGCCAGTGACACTCGCAGCAAGAAATTAGTCGAAAACGGCGTCGCTGATATCATGAACAACACATCACTTCTCGGCTTCTTTGCTGGAGACGGCAAGAAGGTTGACGGAGAAAAGAAGAATATTGTGTTGATTATGGACGAGGTTGACGGAATGTCCGCAGGAGATCGCGGTGGTGTTGGAGCCCTGGCTAAGTTCTGCAAAAAGACTGAGATTCCCCTCATTCTCATTTGCAATGAGCGGAAACTGCCAAAGATGAAGCCGTTTGACTTCGTCGCCATGGATGTTCCCTTCAGGCGCCCGACGGTCGAACAGGTCCGGTCCCGTATCATGACAATCTGTCATCGCGAAGGCCTCAAGCTTCCTGTACCTGTCGTCGATGCCCTCATCGAAGGCAGCAACAAGGATATTCGGCAAATCATCAACATGATCTCCACCGCCAAGCTCGATCAAGCATCGATGAGCTACGACAAGGGCAAGGCAATGACCAAGGCATGGGAGAAACATGTCGTTCTCAAGCCTTGGGATATTTGCCAGAAGCTGCTCGCTGGCGGGCTGTTCGCTCCCGCCAGTAAAACCACTTTGAACGAAAAGATCGAGCTATACTTTAACGACCACGAGTTCAGTTACCTGATGATTCAGGAAAACTACCTGCGCTCAAAGCCTATGGCACTGAACAACCGAGGGTACAACAAGAGGGAAGAGAACCTGAAGTACCTCGAATTGGTGGACCAGGCGGCGGAAAGCATCAGCGATGGTGACTTGGTTGATCGAATGATTCACGGCCCTCAACAGCAATGGAGTCTCATGCCTACTCACGCCGTTTTCAGCACAGTTCGACCATCGAGTTTCGTTGCTGGCCAGCTCATGGGCTCCAACTTCACCTCCTGGCTCGGCAACAACAGCAAGACTGGCAAACTCGGTCGGTTTGTCCGTGAGCTGCACTCGCACATGCGGTTGAGGTCATCTGGAGACGCCAATGAGGTTCGCCAGCAATATCTGCCTGTCTTGTGGGATCAGATGATCCGCCGGTTGTCCGTCGAAGGCAAAGAATCTGTCGACGAGATTATCGAGCTGATGGACAGCTACTACTTGACACGAGACGACTTCGATGCGATTCAGGAGCTCGGTGTTGGTCCGCAAGCCGAGGGCCGGGCTGATATCGAGTCCAAGACAAAAGCAGCATTCACGCGAACGTAAGTACTTATGCTTCTTGCTGTCCAAATTTAGTACTAACAACTTTCCAGCTACAACGCAATGTCTCATCCTATCCCCTTCTTAAAGGCCAGCAATATCATGGAGCCCAAGAAGGTGGCGAAGGAGGCTCCGGATCTCGAGGAAGCTATCGAGGAGGACGATGATGCTGATGTTGCGGAACCTGCTGATGCAGGCGAGGAGGACGATGACAAGATTGACTTGAAGAAGGACAAGTTAATCAAGGCGCCCAAACCGAAGGCTAAGAGAGTGACGAAGAAGGCCAAAGCAGGCGATGACGATGATGACGAAGATGCAGATGCCAAGCCTAAGAAGGGTAGGCCCAAGGCCAAGGCAACGACTGCCAAGGGAAAGGGCAAGAAGTAATGGCATAATGGTCGACAGATATCGATGTAAGGGCATCTTTCTTTCATGGGAGGAGCACGCCAGTGTTCACTGAGTTTGAGTGAGGCATTCATGACACCTGTAGATTTATGAGGTTTGAAACAGGAATACCTGCTGTTCTTTGAACACCTATCATCAACGGCTAGATATTGTATGAAGTTGTAAACCAATCACAAAATGATTTGAGAGATGTACATCATGAAAGGTAATCAGTGTAAAGTGAGTGTTGTGAGCGACAACGTCTGTGTAAGTTAATATGTGAGGAAGTAGACTTGAGAATGACAGCTGCAGTTTGACATCTTCATGAAAGGCAACTGCGAGTATTTGGTAGACAACGTTTTTGTGCAGCCCACCCATGGCCAGTGAATCCTGAAGGAGAGCTTCCTGCCAAAACAGGTTGTTCTTGAGCCTTTGCCAGAATCTCCCCGACACACACATCACCATTAGCACAAGGGATCATGTCAACCATATACAAAACTTGAAAGGCACCTAACCAAGCTCCGAGTCCCTTATTCTTTCAGTATTCCAAGTTCGAAGTTAGTCTTTCTTAATGGCTCCGAATTTTTACCTCGCCTTCCAAAAGCACAGAGCTAATCCAAAACGTTCCTTGCGCAGTTCACCATATCAAATGATTCCCATCAGTTACAACGCTTACATCCAACCGACCGTCCATGATGCCGAGCGCTTTGAATCATCCCGTTTAGTCGTCGGCACGGCTTCAAGCTCCAAGATGATCAATGAGAAGGATCAAAAAGAGCGCGGGTCCAAGAAGCCGTTTCGAACTGCCGCGAAGGCCTTGAAGGGTGAATATTCCCTCCAACCCTAGACGCTTTGCCTTCCTGCTCTCATGATTTCTCGCCTCAACCAACCTCTGTTCATCCGTTTTCCGATCCTTGCTCTTTTTTCTTCCCATCGATTCCCGCTGAGCTTCATCCATCTTCCAAGCTCGAGTGTTTGAGTCGTTTGTTTCTTCGGAAATACTCGAGAACATCTGATTGCTCTTCCTTCCTACACTCGGATCCTCGTTACCAACGTCTTTTTCATCGCTTCACAGTTGCTCATTATTTTCATCGCAGATCTGGTATCGAAGGCAGCCTCCTCTCTCAAGAAGTTAAAGAGCTTCACTACTCTCAAGCGCCTGTCGAGCATGTCTTCTCGACGTGACCGCGGTCAGCACTCGCGTTCCAAGTCTGGTAAGTCATCCAACCTGCTCATCGATATTGAGGTAGCTTTCATGGCAAATAAGAGTCGTATTTCTGACGAAAAATAAATGAATAGCAAACAATATCGACACCGCGGGTACCCTCGAAGATCACAACCCCCATCGCCTTTCCATCATCGAAGAGGCGTCTCGCGAGTCGTCCCGCGACATCTACGCTGCCAACATGTACGATGAACAGGGCTTCCTCAGTGAAGACCATGAGGATATCTACGATCTCAACGAGTTCGAGATGATGAACTCCAATGTCGGACCCCACGGCCAGGAGAATGGAGCCCTCACCCACGACACGGTCTTGTACGGCAACTGGGAGCAAGACAACAACTTGCACGAGTTCAACCGTTCTTCGAGTGAGTCTTTGAATTGCCGTCTTCTCAACTCTTTCTCTAACTTCTTGAACACAGGCCCGGAGACCGTCGTTTTTGACCATGCCCGCTATGCCGGAGTCAACCTCTGGGAAGTGAGCATCAGCACCGATTCGGAGTCGTACTCGCGTTCGGTCCATGAAGGTATCAAGTGCTCCACGTTGTTCTGCTGCTTCCACTAGGCTCTTAGATAGCACATTCTGGTTTCAATGAGATACCTTTCTGCTCCTACTGACTTCATCTACTTACTCCCTGCCCGGGCTTCGTAGACAATTTTCTGTTTGTTCTTTCCCTCACATGGATGTCGTAACTAACCGACTTATTCTAGTTCCTGATCCAAGCATCAAGATCGAAGGCATCTCCACGACCAAGGACTGGTCCATCTTCCAGAGCGAGCTGGTCGACTACGGTACCGATGAGCCCAGCCCTCAGCTCCCTGTCTGCTCGGCTGGCCACCCTTTCGCGAAGGAGTGGTTCATGACAGACTCCATGATGAAGGCCTACGATGCTGTTCGGGGCTCCATGAGGGATGCGAACGACCCGCTGCGATCTTGGATGGAGGTCAAGGCTTTCGAGTCTGCTCTTAGAGCGAAGAGGGATGCTGCCAAGATTTCGATTGACGGCCCTTCTTGCCAGCATGACGAGGAGCCCGACGTCAAGGGAAGAGGAAGAGCTGCCCATGGCGGTGAATTCGCTCGCAGCGAGCACGGTGAGAAGCGCGAGGGTAAGGGAAAGGAGAGGGCTGTAGACGGTGGCGGCTTCGCACGCGGCGAACCCCAGAAGTGAGTCTCCGTCCGAGGATGTACCCTCCTACTCGTCATCCTCCTAACCACAATTCTGCCAGAACTTCCAAGACGCAGCCGTCTCCTGTCAAGGGAGCCGCGGCCTCGGCCTTGAGAGCTGATGTGAAGCCAGAGAAGGATGACTACGTCAAGTGAGTTTTCGTGTGACCAGTTGCTTCGTTCAGGCTTATGACGGACTGTGTATAGGATGCTCGATGACACCCATCTGTTGTCTGCCGAGTACGCCCCGGATACTGCGGACAGGAAGGGAGCCTACAATGTCCCTCGTCCCAAATATCTCCACATCGCGCCCGATTTCGAAGATTTCAGATTCGAGGATTACCTCCCTCCGGTCACCGAGGCCCCTGAGTCCTCTTTCAAGGGGCTGCTCCCCTACAAGCTGCCTTACGATCCGGGGCGCAACTTTGGTAAGTCTGGGTTAAGTCATGATCTGCGCCGATACTGACACATCTTAGTCGAGGACTACGGTATCTCGGACGACGAGGGTGATCCCGAGACTGGAAGAATTTCCCCTTGTACTTTCCGCCTTCTGGCCGAGGGATGTGCTGAGCAGAACACTGATGGAAGAGTCTTCATGGCTGAGGATGTAAGTTTTGCTGAAACACTTTTCCAAGCAACCCAACGCTGAAACGATCTAAGGCTCAACGTATGCGTCCCGAGACTTCCATGGACGATGGCTCTCCCAGAGAGAAAGCCCCTGACCGTCTCCTCATGGAGTTCGAGACCCAGAGAGACATCAACGACAATGGCTATCTCACGCCCTGCTACTCTCTTGACTCCGAACCTTCCATCATCTACCTGCCTGCTGGTACCTGGCACAACAACATCCCTTTCAAAAGCATCAAATTACTGACTTTTGCACAGGCGTGACCTTCCAGCACAAGATGCGGAACTGGTGGTTCGGTCTCTTCGACCGCATGAACCCCGAAGTCGCACGTAACTTCCGCAAGATTGAGTATCATGAACAAGGCGACCCCCCAATCGCGCCTCCAGAAGCTGTCACCGAGGATTCGACCACGACTGCCGAGCCCGGCGACCCCTGGGCTCAGCACTACACCCACTCCGATATCGAGACGATCCTCAACACCCCCGGCGCCCGCAAGGTTGCCGGCGTCGAGGCGGCGAACGCGGCCGAACTCATCACGCAGCGCCAGAAGACCATCCTCCGCTGGAAAACCCGAGACGAGGAAGTCACCCGCGAAAACGCCGTCCTGCGCATCGACGTCGGTCGAGCCCAGAAGGAGCTCCGCGAGATGCGCCTCTCCGTCGACCACGTCCTGGCGCAGAGGGCCGCCCAAGAGCGCGCCGATCGCGAGCGTGCAGCGCGGGAGCTCAGAGAAGCCTGGGAGCGCAAGGCCGCGTGGGAGCGTGCTGAGAAGGAGAGAATAGCCGCTGAAGAGCTCGCCGAGAAGGAACGCAAAGCTGCCGAGGAGCTTGTCGAGAGAGAGCGCAAAGCTGCTGAGGAACGCGCCGAGCAGGAGAGAAAGGCGGCTGAGGAGCTCGCCAAGCGCCAGAAGCATGAAAAGCGGGTGCTGCGCCGTGTGTCGGCGCACTTGCACGACTTGCGGTACGAGGTTCAGGCCAAATTCCACTCCCTCAAGGACGCCGAGGATGAGAATGAGAAGATGAAGAAGGAGTTGGTTCATTGCAAGACCCGGATAAAGGAGGAGTGCTTCAGAGCCAACTTGTCGAGCCCCGATGAGGTTCGCCGGGCTGTCTCGCAGAACTTCCGGGACAAGATGGCGGCCTTGGACCTTGCTGGTTGATTGTGGAATGAGTTTGCAGTGAGAACTGGCCTACGACTCCGTAAGCTGTCCTTGTAGCATTCTCGCTTCTATCTTGCTATGTTCAGCATGGCTCTTCAGTAATATTGCGCCGATGAGTAAGTTCTGATATTTGAACCATGATCAGTTCGTCTGGCTTACGACAACACTAGGACAAAGCTATATGGCTGTGGCAATCGGTGATGAACCGGCTTGTCTCGACGACTGATAATGGCTTTCAATCATCGAGCCCCGGCTTCTCAGCTTTCTGGTAAGTTTCTTATGAGCAAACAATTAGGTACTGCCAAGCTACCATCATAGGTGTCGAGTGGGACCAGTGACTAACAATACGTCCTAGGTCGGGGGAACGCATAATTCTTGACGAAGTCTTTCGATCCTGTTCCCCTTTTTTCAGATTGCTTTCCACGAGCCATGATTTGGGTCATGATGTTGCCATTGTTTGAGTATGATACTCTATGTTAAGATTACTGGAAGATGTCGAATTTGCTTAAGAGCCGAGGGCGGCCTTACGATGTCGTAAGTGCAAATAGGATGAGTCAAAGTATTACGTTCAACCTTGACCGATCATGATTGCAAAGTCCGGGATGTAATTATGCGTGTGCGATTAAGACACGGGGAGATTAAAATCTCCTAGACGGTATGATTAAATTGTACCAGAGCTTTGAGAAGAATCATCAGACCCCGAAACCCCTATTCGGGGTCTATGTATACACACACGTATCCAGATTCTATCCGTTTCTTCTTTTCATCCAGCAAAAAGGCCTTCCCATTTGCGGCCCCCTTACATTTTTTTCCGCCATGCTATTGTCACATCATGAGAGGAGCATTATACACCGACCGGAACGCCCAGTTCGCTGTTCCGGGAATCGAGAGAATATCGTAGAACATAATGGTACAAGAGGGGCTTGTAAGCCGCCGACGTCTCCAGCGGTCAGTCGACTAGCCCCATGATTTTTTCAGAACAAGATCTTCGTAGAGATCGGAATTGTGATGCAAGATGTTGAGACATTGGCCTTTTAAGCGTTCTTAACGACGCCGACCTTGGCAGCGCGCATCACGCGGCCGTTGAGCTTGAAGCCCTTTTGCTGGACGTGGAAGACGGTGTTGTCCTCCTTGTCGGGCTGGGGTGCCATGAAGGTGGCGTCGTGCTCGTTGGGGTTGAACTTCTCGCCCTCGGGGTCGAAGCGCTCGATGCCGTGCTTCTTCAGCGTCGACATGAGAATGTCGTCGGTCATCTTGAGACCCTCGTACAGGTTGGCGAGGTCCTTGAGGTCACCCGACTTCTCCTCGACCTTGAGCTTCTCCTGGGGTACCATTGAGAGGGCGCGGTCGAGGTTGTCGATGCTGTCAATGAGGTCCTTTGAGAACTTCTGCAAGGCGAAGTCGCGCGCCTGCTTGACCTCGCGTTGTGTGCGGTCCTGGAGGTTACGGAAGTCGGCGATGGTGCGAAGGCACTTGTCCTGGAGAGCTGTATGTTAGAACTGGGTCTCGAAACTCGGCGTCCGAGATCGGGAGACAGAATGCGAACGAACCTTCCAGTCGGCAGCCTCCTTCTCCTTGGTCTCCAGCTGCTTCTTCAGGGCAGACTCGGCATCATCGGCGGGCTTCTCGCCCTCCTTGGTGGCCTCGGTGGTCTCCTTGGCGTCGCTGTACCATCTCGCAACGGCGGGTTGCGCGGCTCGTATCCTGAAGGCAGGGGAGCTCTGGAACTGATTTTGGAAGACAGACTTGGGGGTCTGGGTGCGGATGCCGGTGCGCACTGCGCGAGAAGAGGTAGCAATGGCTTGTCTGAACATTGTGGCGGTTGTGGTGGTTGTGTGAGAGACTCGGGAGGGCGAAAGCGTGGTTGGAATCGAGGAGGCGATGTAGGGACTGGTCGCGTGTACGGAGAAGCTTTTAGAAGAAAATGAAATTTTATCGGAATGGCCCCAAGTGACGAATTGCCGTCCCTTGAACCCCGGCCATGCGGGAAAGTTCGCGCCCAATCATAAGATTCCGGAGAGCTCCATCCGGGGGCGGATGAATCGATGGACCGCTCAGAGCTTTATCGATAACACTAGCGCCAAGGCAAGACCAACGCGCTTTCCGCAGGCGCCAGGCACGGTCGCTGCACTTTCCAATTGGTAATTCAGTGGCACCTGAGGCGGCAGCGTTCACTTTGGCTCTGGTCGCAAAAATATCCATTCAGCCTCCCCTCCACCGTGACACAATCGTCAACTTCCACCCGTTCAATCCACCCGCGTCCCACCATAATTACGATTGCCAAGGCGCTCTTGCTTTCCGTATACACAAAATCGAATACGTTTGCCGCAGTCTAATTCGAATTGCTTCTCAGAACCTTTGGCCCGAGCTACAACTGAAAGGAGAAAGGCGGCGCCATGGATTACGAGCCGATGCTGTTGGATGGCGAGTCCGGAGGACCATCGATCAAGATCTCAGGGGTACTACTTCCCAAAATTCACTCAGCTAGTGACTTTCAAACTGACAGCCCGGCGCATCGTTAGGCTGATAACATCCACGTCAACTTTGATCTCTCGAACTGCGACCTGTCCTTCGCCAACTCACTGCGTCGCGTTATCCAGGCCGAAGTCCCAGTGATCGCCATCGACCTGGTCGAAATTGAGGCCAACACATCTGTCCTTGCCGATGAGTTCATCGCCCATCGCCTGGGTTTGATTCCCCTCCAATCCAAGGACGTCAACAGCTTGCTCTACACCCGAGACTGCGACTGCGAGCAGTATTGCGATAACTGCAGCGTGAAGCTTACGCTGCATGCGCGATGCTCATCAGACGAGACCATGAAGGTTTACGCCAGCGACCTCATTGTCGACAGCTTCAGACAGAACGGCACCGTAGGAAACCCTGTAATCCTCGACCCTGAAGGGCAAGGCTCTTTGATTGCGAAGCTGCGCAAAGGGCAGGAGCTCAAGGTATCATGCATCGCGAAGAAGGGTATTGCAAAGGAGCATGCAAAATGGATGCCGACGTCTGCTGTTGGGTTTGAATACGACCCTCACAACAAGCTGCACCATCTGGACATGTGGTTCGAAGAAGATGCCAAGGCCGAATGGTGAGTGACTTGAATGATATGCTCCTTGAAAGATGCGAGTGGCTAATAGTAGCAAAGGCCTGAAAGCAAATATGCCAAGATGGAGGACCCCCCACAAGAAGGCGAAGCTTTCGACTACGACGCGCTCCCCGGCAAGTTCTACTTTGAGGTCGAAGGCGTAGGCAGTCTGGAGCCGGATCAGATTATCCAGGAAGGAATCAAGATTTTGCAGGAGAAGTTGGCCCTCACGCTCCATATTCTCACAGGCGAGGCAGACGAAGATGGCATGGGCGACTTTGATGGACCTCGCAGTCCCAACTTGGATATGGATGGCGGCAACCCCTGGCAAGATCAAGGCTACACCACCCCTTTCAATGGCGGCAACCAGACCGCATGGGGAGGCAACGCAACGACACCCTACACCACAACGACGCCTTACGGCGCCTCCGGACAGTCTGGATGGAACTGAGAGAGAACGACAACCACTAAATCATAAAAAGGCGTTTATGTATGAAAATCACTTTGAGATATGGGGGCGGTAATGGAGTTTGCGAATTTTTGCAAAGAAGCCAGCTTGGTCATCAGCTGGCTACATCGGACCAGCTTGGGGGAGGAGGGGGAGTTTGCCTGACGACGCGCGAAACGGCACCAACGCGCACGAAAAGATGCACTCCGCAGCGGCAAGAGGGGGTAGGCTTCTCGGCATCCTGACGGCTAGACCTGAACCCAGATTGGCTTGGCTTAGACACCCGTGACAGGGGATGGTGGCGGTAGAGCAATCGTAAAACAAGACAACAGCCCGTCAAACACTAGGGCGAGGAGAGGCAGGCGGGGTTCGATTTCGGCGGAGAAGGTAACTCTTCTCCCGGATATCTATAATACAACTCACACACAAACCTCACATAAAGCGAATATGGATTGCTGCAAAGAAAACCGACCATATCTTTCTTTCCTGTGTATACCCTCCATGACTCCTGTCAAATGCAGCAGAGTTGCCTCTTTTTCCAACGCCTCCAAACATGCCAAGATGGTACTAGTGATGATGATGCAGCGCCAGTCTATCTAGGTATCTAAAAGCTCATTCTATAACACAACACAAGCCTTTTTGTGTGCCTATTACCCCTTGATGGACGCATCTTCACCATTACCGATATCGGCGACCTTTCTATAGACCTTGCGGTGCATCTCTAGGAAGACAAATGTACAGATGGTTTGTCTGGAAGTGAGTTAGCTAAGGCGAATCACATCACTGCTTATAAAGCAAGAAGGGAATAAGAACGTACGGTCCGAGGCGGAGGAAACTGGGCACCCAGCCCTTGAACATCCACCCAAGGCCCTCAGCCTTGTAAATCTTGGCCAGGGTATGCGCCAGCCCCTCCTGGGTGCTCGCCGACATGACCCGCGTCTTGATGACATCAATGGGGCTCGTCACCGTGGCGGCCATCACACCCGCGAGGAACGAGGCCGTAAAGTGCGTCGTCAGATTATCCCCCATGGGCGTGTGGCGGATGAGCATGCCCTTGAAGGTATCGTACGACGCGAGCTGCGAGGCCGTCATGGCCGCAGCGCGCATGCTGTTGGGCAGGACGCCCCTGAACCAACTCATGATGCCTTCCTCGCGCGCCATGCGGAGCATGCCCTCGAGGGCGTGGCTGTAGTTGCGGCGCTCGGCGGCGGGGAGGGCGGCGTCCTGCTGCATGCGGACATTGAGGACGTCGGCGGCGTTTCCCGAGATGCCGCCGACGAAGCCCGCGGCCGAGGCCATGGCGACGAGGACGGGGAAGGAGGGGGGTTTGCCGTCGTTTGCGCGGGTGGCGCGGATCTTCATCTCCTCGTAGGCGCCGAAGCGGACGGTGGAGTAGGTCATTTGGCGGAGAAGGGAGGCCGAGAGGCCGTTGTAGAGGCCTGTCACGCCGTGGTTGCGGATGATGTGGGTGAAGGTGCCGACCATGTTCTTTGGCGCGTCGGGGCGGCGGACCTGGAGGCGGACCTAGAGGAGGGTGACATTGTGTAAGTAAGTGAATTCTTGCTTTGGGAGCTACGTAGATGTGTTGTTGTTTGCTACGGGTCTTGGGAGAGCTCAAGTTTGCTATCGTGGAGCGAGGGTTTCGTTCGATGGTGTGTTGTAGAAGTGGGAGCGCATTACCTTAACTGTGAGACATTGTCAGCTCTTGGCTCACTCCGATATGTGCGATATCGCAGGCTCTCTCGCGCCAGATCTCGAGATCAAGGCCGGCAGAACTTACCCAAATCCAGGGGATGGGTCACGCAGGCGGCCATACTACTGGCGCTGCCTCCGAACCAAAAAGGATATCTCAGCGACGGTTCCGCCGTCTTCTTTTGCTTCTGAGGCGCCGGTGTCGTCGTTGTCGCAGCCGACGTCTGCTGCGACTGCGTTTGCGACTTCTCCTGAGCTCCTTCGAGCTGCCCCAACTTCAACGGAGACGGCTGCGACGACGACGGCCCCGACGGCTCGTCGGCCGGTTTACTGGCGACCATGTTGGCGGCGGCGGACTGCATCGTTGCAGGGTGTTGCGCAGTATCTTATGATAGGCTCATCCTGTTGCGGCGCAATTGAACACTGCGGCGCGGAAATGGCAAAGATTCCGTAAGTGAAGAAGCACAGACGGACGACCTTTCTCGGATTTAACGTGAGTTATGTCCAAGATTGCCTTGTTCCCCTCTCTCTCGTGTCGGCAATTATGAGCTGGGTAGCGTGTGTTGCTGAGACGTCACTTCTCGGTCGTCGCGGTTGAGTGACGTCTTTTTTTCTATAAAGCCGACTTCGGGGGGAGGGTGGTGTGGTCGTGCGGGAGGCCTTCTTTTTTTTTGTCGCTACTTTGGGGTATGCAGGTGGTGGGAGGAATGGAAGAAGCCGAGGAATTGGAGATCGGGTCGGTTTATCGCGAACTTTTTCTTGTCGTTATCTTTTTTTCTTTCTTCCTTAATTAACACCAATTCGGCTGAACGAGGGACGCGCTTCGAGTCGGCTCAAGGGAACGAGAGGGAAAAAAAAAAGTAGATTTGCTGATTGATCAAGTCCCCTTTCAGAGGGAACCACCGGCACCAACAGACAACAACTGAACCTGCTGCTTCGAATTTTTGGTGCGTCATTGGGCCTGCAGCGAAGCTAGGGTGCCATGCGCTAATGAAGGGCGTCTCCGGACCCTTGCTCCGGGGGGAGTCGGCAGGGTCTGGCGCCGTGTGCCCGCCCCGGGTCGCAATGCCAATTGGCTTGGCCCGTGCATCCCGTAGCTTTTGTCAGACTTCTGGTGATCGACACTTTTTCGACCAACTGCTGCGAAAGCTCCCTTTTCCTAACGGCAGCTGTTGTCGCAGCACTACATCGAAGCTCTAGGCCTGTGATGAGCACATAGAACAAGGGCCTTTGCATACGGACAAGGGGGTTCACAACTTCAAAATGCTCGTCCCAAGATTAGCCGGGAGGCAATTGCAAAGTTGCTTCCGTGGCGCCACCTGCGCCGCGAGAGCTCCTCGACAATGGCAGGCCATCGCTTCGTTGTCGATGAGCGGTAGCCGGCGCAGCTATTCCTCAGGTTAGACCACGATCACCCGGTCCTTAATGATCCCTTGAACTTACAGACATCATCGCAGAACCCTCGACAATTTCAAACACCCTAGACCAGAAAAAGACCGTCGAGGTCAACAGCCAAACGATACCGACAGACACCTGGTTCAATGTCCCGACAAACGTCCTCGACGCAGCCTCGCGCAAGCTTCACCTCCAAAAAGACCACCCCGTCTACATCACGCGGCAAATAATCGAGTCGCAGTTCCCGGCGCCCACCTACAAGTACCACAACACCTTTGACCCCGTCGTCACGACGCACCAGAACTTCGACTCGCTCGGGTTCCCCCTAGACCACCCGGGCCGCGCGAAATCAGACACCTACTACTTCAACAAGGACACCCTCCTCCGCACGCACACGAGCGCGCACCAGGCGCAGACCTTCCAGAAGAACCTGAGCGAGGGCTACCTCATCAGCGCAGACGTCTACCGCCGCGACGCCATCGATAGGAGCCACTACCCCGTCTTCCACCAGATGGAGGGCGCCCGCATGTGGGACAGGACAAGAGTGCCCAACGGCGACATCGCCGCCGCCGTCTGGGAAGACCTCAACAGGCTGCCGAAGCACAACGTTAAGGTCGAGGACCCGCACCCGGCCTACGACGCGGAACGGAACCCTCTACAGGAAGGCCACCACTCCCCCGCCGAGGCCGAGGCCATCGGCGCCCACCTGAAGCGCTCGCTCGAGAACATGGTAGTCGAGATTTTCACGAGAGCGAAAGCCGCCGCGGCGAAGGCGGACCCGGACTACAAGGACGAACCCCTGCGTGTCCGTTGGGTCGAGGCCTACTTTCCCTTCACGAGCCCCTCGTGGGAGCTCGAGGTCTACTACGCCGGCGACTGGCTCGAGGTGCTAGGCTGCGGCGTGGTGAAGCAGGACATTGCCATAAACGCCGGCGTGCCGCAGCAGGTCGGCTGGGCCTTTGGCATCGGCCTCGAGCGGATCGCCATGCTCCTCTTCCAGATCCCCGACATCCGCCTCTTCTGGTCCAAAGACGAGCGATTCCTGAGCCAGTTCAGGGGCGTCTCGGACCAGCTCGATAGCATGAAGCGCTTCGTGCCCTTTTCCAAGCACCCGGCCTGCCCCAAAGACGTCTCCTTTTGGCTCGGGAGCACCTCCTCGGCAGCGGGCGGCAACACAAAAGCCAATACACAGGATTTCCACGAAAACGACTTCATGGAGCTGGTGCGCGACATCGCCGGCGAGCGGGCCGAGGACGTCCGGTTGGTGGACGAGTTCACGCACCCCAAGACGGGGAGACGTAGCATGTGCTACCGCATCAACTACCGAAGTCTGGAGCGGACCTTGACCAACGAGGAGACCAATGAGCTGCACAGCGAGGTGACCCGGAAATTGGTCGAAAAGCTAGGCGTCGAGATCCGGTAAGGGAACAGCAGACGAGAAAAAAAAGGCAGACAAACACTGTGCCGTGTTGCTCAACGTTGGCGTAGTTTGAGGGGTAAAAGGGGGCTGTGCTGCCAACACTTGTTATTCCCTCATCTTGAAGATGGGATGAGGGCTCCCGATTTGATGGCGGTGAGTAAGTCCACATTCGGCATGCCATCATTTACTGCATGGCATCGTTCTAGTGTACTAGAACCCCGACGTAAGTTATACGCCTCTGCTTGAGGGGTTGTCGCGAGATGGGTGCTGCTAAGCTTTAGCTTGCGCCCTGGCTGTATGCCCGTGTAGAAGAAGAGGTCGTCACGCCCATTGTATCATATCAATTACATTGTACTATCAAAGAAACCCACCCCCAAAAAGGATGGACTGACCTCCAGCTTGGTTTTGTGAAGGCTGAGCTGAGCCATGAATTAAACCACTAGAGCTTGAGGGTGAAAGGTACGGAGACTCGGGATTTCCTTTGATCCCGTCGTCTTGCAGATGTGATGTGCTGTGTTTCTCGGAAGCTATGATCTGAAGCAACCGTGTGATGTACAGATACAAAACATCAGACCAAAAGCCGTAGGAGAGAGACGGCCGTTGAAAACATTCCGTTCTCGACAGCCCGAGGGGGAATGTAAGCAGTGGACCGTGGATCGCACTGTCAAGCGTCCGAGCATCTCGGAACAAAGGCAGAGAAGATCTTGCGGGAGTTCAACTCCGCCGGTTCGGGAAAGAAGCAAAAACCAAAAAAAAAAATCTGAAGCAGTGACGCCAGGGTTGCAGATCGGTTGTATCATGCGCAAAACCTACCTTGCACACAATGCTCGCGCGCAGCAGCAGCAACAGCAGCACGAGCGCATTAGTCTTCAGGAAGATGGAGCAGACCTTCGACCCGTCGTCCCATCACAAAAAAAACTTGGGACGGTCGTGCAAAAAGTCAGTTTCAAGGCTTTCTTCTTCTCTACACCTCAGATTTCAGCCAATCCTGGTGCTCGCATTGCAACAAGAGAGGGGAGACTTGAGCCGATCTACAGTATGGTGATGAAGGGGAGAGAGGGTTTGCTCGTTTGTTAGTCGGTCAAACTACACAGCCCACGCACCCTTGTCGAGCTCTCGTCGTTCATTGCATCAGACCAAGCTGTGATTGTTGCAAGAGATTTCCTCAATGCTGATTTCCCCCTCTCGCAAGCGAGTTCCTTGTAATATTGTCCAAACGGATGAGATGAGTTTGCCATCGCTTCAGGTCCGACTCAGCAGCAAAGTTTATCAGGCGGTAATCTCTCTGGGCAGGCAATGTCTTTGGTGCAAGGAAACCCCGGTACTTGTGGGAGATATCCGTAAGGTGCAAGGCATATCGAGCTTGTGAGTTCTCTATAGACGTCCTGATGTCGCAGCATCGGAGCAGACGGTACCTCGGATTACAGTCGGGTCCATGAATTCGATGGCCTGCAAGTCAGCAATTACAAAAGTACTCTTTTGGGGGACGAAGGAGATGATTCGGTGGTCGGTCGTTGACTGGCGTGCAAGCGAGTTGAGAAACGAAGACAACTTGCCATAGGCGCATCTTGCCCAACTAGGCAATCGGCAACCGGTAACTATTATCTGGAATGGCGCCTGTGAAGAGAGAGAGTGTCGGAGGTGCAGCGAAATGCAGAAAAGAGGGCACGCATGTCTTGGCCTGGAAGGGTGTCTGGGGAAGCCGATTGCAGGACGAAACATCAATCTGGCAGGTGAAAAGTCTTGGTATTTTGCACAGCCTCGTTTCCAGATCGCCAGAGGGGTATTTGCTGACCGTACAGCAAAACCGTAATCTTCTGTGGCAATCGGAGAGAGGGGAGCGTTTCTGCGGCGTGTCGGGGCGATCGGGTTGAAACATTGGCGAACAGCGTCACAGAATGGGTGCTGCTGCTGTTGCAACGATCAGCGGCTGGGCCGTGTCGATTGCTGAGGGCAAACTTCATCATGTTCGTCTGCTGTTCTCTGGACTCTGCGGATGATACCTCGATATCCATTGTGGCTGATTGTCCCTCTGCTCAGGATCAGACGAGCGTGTGCACTGGTAAATGTCTCTGACCAGCGGCGTAGGGAAGGGGCTGAGGCTCGGTGCAATTTGGCGCAGAGCTGGCTGAGCGAAGACAAAATTCGTAGGCCGACTCGTGTGCCGGCGCGGGCTGAGCCGGCAAAGCGAAGTTCAAACTTCAGAGGCGAGCCGTGACTGAGGCTTTTCGGGACCCTATCCCGCGACAAATCTGGCACGGGGTGACGGAATGCCTTGCCCCTATTCATCCGGCCGGTATGTTATAGCATGAACACCTAGATCAAGGCAGGTTTTCTGCTGAGTTGGCGCCGCCATCGCTGCGGTTCGTTGAGAGGGGCGGCGGGCTCGCATCATGGGTGAGCTCCCCTCCAAAGCCAAGCCCCAGCCCCAGATGGTATGATACCGGGGGTTGGAGGCGTTGCTCAGCCAAGACCAGGAACACAAGCTTCGGTCTTTCAGATTACACTGCAACCTGCCGACAACATGGCCAGAAGAAATTTCGGATAGAAGAGCGGACCATGGTTTGATAGTATCGTAAGTGGTCCAAGGAGGCGCCGCCCCCAAGCCTATCATCGAACCGTAAACTCCAAGTGTTGTAGATACAGTGAGTGGTGAATACTGAACTTGTTCTGTGAACACAACATTTGCTGCACAGCCCCCGTCACTCTATGGACCCTTGGCCAGGGACTGGACGCTGTGGGAATTTGACTCGGTATCCCTGGACTCTTTTTAGCTTAACCGCGATAGCGCAAGAGCGGGGAGATGAGCTGTCGAGGTGTTGGTTGTCGAATCACTACTGAGTATGGTGACAGCCGACAGGTCTGGTATCTGCATCTGTAGGGTAACGTTGACATTCGGAGTATGCCCGAGTCCAGACTGGGCATCTCGAAGATCCGAGATGCAGGTGTCTCTGGAAACGGGTGGCTGCATACCACTCGGTATGGACGCACCGGAGGCATCCCAAGACCCAAGAAGCGACGGGAGACCCAAGCCCTCGGTGGCTGTCTGCTGTGCCTGTTTCTCGCGTGTCCAGGGACGTACGGGAAGGGAAAATAAAAGAGACCCGAGTGTGAGGTCACAGGACAAGGTGGATGGATACGGTGGACAGGGTGGGAAGATGGCGATGCGCCGCTACCGAACGTAGTGCTGTCGTCGGCGGCCGTAGCTGCGGTCAAGTAGCGGGTCGAGGCACTGATTCTCAGCGCTTTGGAGCCCAAGTCTCCTCCAGAGCGTGCCGTCATTGTTGACCAAGTCCACCTGGGCTCAGTTCAGGTTGGATGGATAGTGCGCTGGGCGTGTGGGGGAACAGCCGTGGAAGAGGCTCCCATCGTGGATTCGTTGCAAGGGGAGGCCTGCCAGAGGCGAGAAGAGGTTTGCTGCTGGAGCCGACAACGACAACGAGAATGCGTCCAGTGACTGCCCTGTCGCAGCAGTGCCTGTCCTGAGGGAACAGCCGTGCCAGCCAGTTTGGGTTCAATGAAAGACAAGCACCGCCCTCGCGGCACACCGTAAAGTCGTCACTCAGGAAATTACCGATTGAGGCGGAGATAATTGGAGCCGCTACCGTAACGGTACGTACCCAGATCTAGCCCGTTTAGCGTCCTTTAGCTCATCCGTTAAGAAAGAGACCAAGGGGACCAGAACACGGAAACTGCGCGTAAAGAATGGCTGGGGTGGCGAATGGCATTCTCGACAATTCGATTTCTAGCGGGGCCGACGAACCAAGACCTGTTCGATTCGTCAGTAGTCTGCCGTGTCAAGCGGTTCCATCTCCACGCCAGCGAGGGACGATAGAGGTCCAGGTCTTTCGTGGATCATTTCCCATGAGCCACCAGGTGCAACCGCAGCACGGCGCGAAGCAAGGGCAAGGTCCTGTGGAGGATGAGCTTGAGGTATCCGTATGGCATGGCAGATATTGCAAAGCAATGTTGCGGAAAGCATCCCGTGGACACTTCAAACTTGGAGAACGCCAAGCCTTCTGGAGTGGGAGGAAAAACTTTTGCCGTATCATTTCTCTCTATCCGTATTGCCTCTTGCCCTTGCACAGCCCCAATCCATGTCAGCCGTGTTAGTCCTGATCCTGGGCTGCTGAACGCCCAGTGCTTGCCTCTCTGACGCCTCTATCAGTCTCTCTGCTCAGAGGCAAGGTAAGCTGCCCGGTGAGTTGGTGAGAAGATGAGCCGAATGAGCAAAGTGACATACTTACCTTATGGCCTCCCTCTCATCCTGTGTAAGGTACACTATGATGGTACAAGCTGGTGCCTTGCCCCTGTTCTCCATGCGTCGTCCGATCCCGACGTGCTCCTCCTCGCGCCAATGCACCTTGGCAAACCCACGCGCCCTGCCTTGCTGTGAACCTTTTTTCCACCATGAAGCCTGGAGTAAGCTGCTCTGTGAAGTGAGGTGGTCTGCGCTCGCAGCGACTGGGCTGTAAATTGACTGCGTGACTAGCAGCGTAGGACGTGACCATTGTCCGTGGGAATGGATAAGGAAGGGGACCGTAGGAGAGTTCCCGTCTGCCCGTCTGCCGTCTCCACCACTGTGACGGCGCTCTCCAAAAAGGCGGCGAAACTTCAAACGGGCCCGTGAGTCCGTGTGGCCTTCCCGTTTCATCCACACAGACACTCCCAGCGCCCCACTCAACGTCCAGAGGCAACGGCACCCCTCCCCTCACAACCATAGGTACCTTACAACTCAGCCATCCACCATCCACCATCCACCTGGCAAGCCTGGCACCGTCCACCATCCAACCATCCCACACTCCGCCCGACCCCAGTAGTCCCTCAGTAGCGCCTGGCCAAGCCACTCTCTCACTGGCACGCTCAAACATATAACCAAGACCGCCTCCCGCCAACCATCACGATCATTTTTCGTTCCAACTCCAGCAACAACCAAAACACTGCACAAACAAACTACACTACTGCAAGCCTCTCTTCTGCAGATGAACAAGATCACTACACAATCGGCGTAGAATACATAGCAAAGAGTTAGAAACGACTTCCTCGCCACACACCGCAAAAAAACACATTTCAACCACATACACATACACACACATACACAACCAGCCAAAATGGAATCACCTCAGCTGGATACCCGCCCCATCTTCTCGAGGCGCTCGACCGGCTCCAACAAGTCGCTCTCCCTCGATCTCTCCTCTCTGCCGCCTCTGGTCCAGCCGACGCCGCCCACAAACACCCTTCTCTTCACAAACCTCAACGACACCTCAATCTTCCGCCCCGACAACCTGCAGACCATCCGCGACCTCATTCTCAAGACGGCGCCAGTCCACTCATGGGCACCCCTCAAATCCTTCCGCCGCATCGTCGTCTCCTTCTTCTCAGAGGATGACGCCATCGCCGTCCGACGTGTCTGGGACGGTGAAGCCGTCATGGGCGAGCGCGTCCGCGTCTACTTTGGCCAACCCACCCCCGTTGAGGTCACCGATCGCCACCTTGCCCTCCCTGACGCTGGAAAGCTCTTCTTCATCTCTCCACCTCCCTCGCCGCCTCACGGCTGGGAGATGAAGCTGGAGGATGCCCCCAACAAGATGGTGCACGCAGAGGACCTCGCCGATGCGCTGGCCAAGCTGCACCACCGCCCGACGGGCGTCGAGACCCCCATCAGCCCCGTCGACGGCTCAAGACAAACGCGCAGCAGAAGCTCTACCTTGCTCTACCAGCCTGACGCCAACGGTACCAGCCCCGATCTGCCCGCCATCTGCCTGGAGGACATGACCGACGAGCCCATGGAGTTCAGCCCTATCGAGCCGAAGCCCATTATGGCGCATACTTCCCGCCCACCTGTGGAGCTGATGCACCACGCATAATTCTTGATTTCAACTCAACTTGTTTTTTGAAAGAGCGATCTTGGTCAGGCGTTGGATGGTACGACATTGGGACTATGGCGGTTCAGGAACTTTGGGCACTCATCTAGCATCGAACGGGCTTGGGACGGCGTTTTACGGGAAGACCACGGCTCGCACATTGGAGCGGTACAATATTGGATTGGGGAGGAATACTATTCGAATGGGATCGGCACTATCACACTGTCGTTCCTGATGGCTAACGAGCCAATTTTTTGCGCAAAAAAGTTTCTACTGTGTTGCTCAGAAGCACACAAGGTCTTTTCCTGTACACTAGATTCCCCTTTCGCTCTCAGTATTGAAAGGCAGCGAAACAAACAAACTTGATTACCAACAACAAAAGTGGTGTGGACCCCTATATCTGTCTCAGTATTGTGATATGTCGCTCAGCTCTCTACAATTACTTCTGCGACCCGAAACCTGTGGCAGAGACGCTCATGCTGTGGAGCAGTATTCGTGGACTAGGTACGCAACCCAACGAATGATGCGCCGGACCAAACGGTTTGATCTTCAGATACAGTGATCTACCTACATTACGACTTCCGAACCCAAGTCAGGAGAAATCCGGCCCCTCACAGCCGATCGGGGATCAGCTTGTCGGGGGTTGCGTCTCATCCACGATTGTTTCTGACGTATGATGGGCACCTGGTTCCTGCGCGGGACTAACTAACAATATTCAATGTTCACCAGGCACCAAATGCTCAAAGAACCCTCCCAAACAGGGCCGACGCCCCGCGGATCCCAAGCCAGGCGAGCAGACCGCCCACCGTGGCAACCACGCCTAATGTGATGAGGCTCCGGCGTTCGTTGCTGCGCACGCGGCGTGGGCTTGCTCCTGCTCGTGCTCCCGTCTTTGCATCTGCGGGGGTGGAGCCTGGCTCGTGAGTCGACGGGTCCGGGTGCTGTTGGGTCCGGGCCGTTGCCTCGGTGGACAGGACGTCTAAGGTTGGAATGTACTTGAATTCGAAATTTGTTTCTTTGCCTAGGGCGCCGAGCTCGGGTTTGTTAATCGTTATATTGAATAGGGCTTTTTTGAGGTTCTGGGAGGGTTGTTAGAGGGTGCTGTAGTTCAAGTTGTAATCAAGGGGGTTATGTTCTCTTTCTATCAACATGTTGTCGACTCAGGACAGACGACCAAAAAGGGGGCACCCCCAGGAATGATTGACGAAACTGACCTTATTCCTAGACTCATCCCAACTAGGGAATAGACGGCGAGAGTAGCACATGAACATGAAGAAGAGACACTGGCCCAGTATGAGCAGCGAGTAATAAAAAGGCGGCCTCTCCACCGCCAACGCACGCGCGAGCTTGGCGCCGTTGAGCCAGTACGTCTCCGCGGCGAGGAACTCGCGCGAGACGTGTGAGGGCGGCTGCTCGGCGAGCCCCGTGAGGACGTTGTTGGCGAGGGCGCGCGAGGTATCGGAGGGTTGGATCTCGGAGGCGAGGAGGGACTCCATCGTCGCCTTGGCCCTCTTGAGCGTGGAGAAGGCGTCTGTGGGCGTGCCCATTATGTAGGCTACGTAGCGCCATAAGGCGAGGTAGTCATTCTTTTCGCTGTTCTTGAGATAGATCCCCTGGCGGGGCAGGCCGATCCAGAGGAGGGTGGAGGAGAAGGTTGATATCGTGCCGATGGAGTCCAGATCGTTTACGGGGACGCCGTAGGCTGCCACGTCGTAGTAGGAGGGTCGTTGGCTGGCGAGGAGGAGGATGCGGCGGCGGACGGCGGCGTGGAGGAGACGGACTCGGACGGAGGAGGCGTGACCTTCACCGCCTGGTTGGACGGAGGGGAGGTCGCGGGTGACTTGGAGGATGTGCTGGAAGGTCTCGAGGAGGCGGCGGCGGGTGACGTTGACGCCAAAGCCGCCTGTTCGGGAGAGGGTTTCTACAACGCGGCGGCCACCCATGCCGCCTACGAGGGATTGGAACGTGAGCTATGGATTTAGTGTTAGTGAGGTTGAGGTGAGTTGGGGATGTATCGTCAGACGAGTTTGGCTGGACTCACGGCGAAGATGGCCGGGCCTGCGTATCGCAGAAAAACTTGTTGTCCGCGTTCGATTTGAGCCCAGTCGACCCATGGTGGGATGGTGTTGATTTCAGTCCATAGTTTTCCCAAAACCTCGTCTGTGTCTGCGTTGTCTCTCAAGAGAGCATAGAGGTCTCGATGTGGCTTCGCATCCTGAGGAGTGTCTACCTTCTCACTGGGAGTGGTCGAGGGTTTCACGGGAGGCGATATTTCATCCAGTCGGTCCAATGCTTCGGCGCCCAGCTCATCGTAAGTATATATCATTGGGCGGAGGTCGTCGGATGTGAGGTGCTCGTCGGTCCACTTGAACCAGTAGTCCCAGACTTCTCGCCACTCTTCACCCCGGTACCAAAGGACACCTGCCATTGCTGGTACTGGAGTTGTAAAAAAGTAGAGGGTATGCAACTTTAGGAAAGGCCAAATGCAATAGATATATGAAACCTCAGCAGTTCGCCAAAGTATAAAGTTGAGGAGAGACAAGTTGAAAAAGACCCGGAAGTCTCAGTGCTCAGTTCGCCTTGGCGAATCGGGGGGCAAAGCTCAAGCTAAGGGCGGAATGACTTCATAGACCTCAAAAGACTTCTCTCATCGGATACTAGATGTCGTTAGACCAACCCAAAGTCGTCATCCAATTTGAAATCCAGGAATCATATGAAATGAATAACTACAAGAAAGTGAATACAAGACAATGAACGCGGAGCCGGAAAGAAAGACACGACTTTCACTTGGAAGTTGGAGACAGCCGAAGTGGTGGCCCTTTTCGGATGAGGAGGGTTTGACACCTGACTGGGCGAATCACCGGACCACACTGGTCGACTGGTAAGCTGACTGGGAAGATGAGGGCAATTGTTACCAAGATTGGACGGAGATGCAGGTATGTGCTTCGGGAAGGTTGGCCCCACGGCCTCAAAGACTGCCAAGGACATGGATGTGCCATGATGTTTGCACGTGATTGGGACTTTTTTCCAGTTGTAAGGCATCGTGGTACTCGGTATGGGCGAATGATGACAGCAAACTCGGTTGGATAGAGTACTGTCCACTACCTATGCTCTATTAAATTGAAAAAAGTTTTGCAAGTAAGGAAGGCCGTGGGTTGTAGTTGATGAAATGATGTGTAAGTGAAAGTCGCGCCTCTTCTTGATCACTTCAAACTCATTTTGATGTTCGTGCAAATGATACAAAATCAGCCCTTGGAGATCAACCGATATCTGTACTATAGAGCAAGCTCATAGAGTTCAGAATAATAAAAAAGAGTTCACCTCGGTAGACTACATCTCTTGGTGATTATACTGGGGAATTTCTGGTGCTCATGCTGGTAGAATTGATTGTTGACCTCAAACCACTCCACCACCCAGCAAGGTTGTCCTGACCCGTCGACCTAGACGGACGCCTGCTTGCTGGTGACAGGAATGGGATTGAAGGGGGGTATAAAGGCTTCCTGTGTATATTCATTCCGGCGATAGGATGGGATGAAGTTGACGTTTGTTCTGGTAAGGTAGGCGCGGGCGGGGCACTGCTCCCAAGTGCTGACTTTCCATGGCCGCCCCGCTGCAAGCACTTCCACTGCAGCCCCTGCAGTTACCCGGCGCAGCGGCGCTTTTCCGCCGGGCGCCCCTGCAGCGGGTTCCCTTCTCCTGTCTGCGCGTCCCGTCCCGTCCAGTCGCGGAACCAGATTAATTAGACTCGAGCTCGACTTTTTTTTTTCTCCTTCCCGGGCCAGCAAACGCCTCTGTGTCTAACCTCACCTCAACCAACCTACCTAGTATCCGACCTTACTCTAAAGCTCGAATTCCTCCCATCTCATCCCGAATCAGAAACCTCACGATCACGCGATGCTCTGTTCTTGTCGCCTGAGCCCCCTGCGGCTTTTCGTCCAGGGCATTTCGCAATTGCACATATCTGAACCCGTCGTCGCAACGAGACTCCCGCAACACCTCAAGAACACCCGTACCTTACAAATTAACCAGGCCTCGACGTTTGCGACTTCGGCCGTTCACAACAAAAAGCGTGACTTTATACCATTCGAAAAAGGAGGAAAGCAGGCTACATCAAGAGGACCACTGGAAGAACAACCTGACGAAGAACCGGCGAAACCGAAGCGAGAAAACTGGCAGCTCCAAAAAGAAGCCCTCAAGAAGAAGTTCCCTGACGGCTGGAATCCGCGCAAGCGCCTGTCTCCGGATGCTATCGCCGGTATCAAGGCGCTGCACGCCCAGTTCCCCGAGGAGTACGACCTGAAGACGCTCGCCGACAAGTTTCAAATGTCGCCTGAGGCGATCCGCCGTATTCTGAGGAGCAAGTGGCAGGCGACGCCCGAGGAGGAAGAGGACAGGCAGGAGAGGTGGTTCCGGCGCGGCGTTAATGTGTGGTCGCGGTACGCGGAGCTGGGCCTGAAGCCACCCAGCAAATGGCGCCGCGAGGGCGTTACACGAGACCCGTCGTATCATCAGAACCGCAAGGAGGCGATACAGAGGAGGAAAGAGGAGGAAGCCAAGGAGAATGTCGGGGAGAGGTTGCAGCGGAAGCTGTCTGATACCATTATTTGAGTGCTGGACAACAGCGACTGCATTTCTTTTCAACCAGCAGCTCGAATCCCATCCCAGCTCTTACAATATATCGGCCGGCACATGGCCTCAAAAATCTAATAATGAACATTACATCAACACACATCTCAAGCGCAGCGATTGTCGAGCTCAAGTGGTCGAATATGCGCATTGTGACGGAGCCAATCATTCACCCCTAGCGGCTGCATAAACCCCATACTTCCCATTGGATATAGCTGCCTGTCAGCCTTCTTTGCAGCTGCAAACCACTCTGCGCTCAAGTCTAAAAGCTCGTCACTGAGAAACATATCAACTGGTCTTTGCAAAATACACGAGTGGCCAGAAACTGATCATGAGACTTTTATCCACCGAGACGAAAGAGTTCGAAGTCTTCGACATTGAAAATGCTCCACCTTACGCCGTGCTATCTCACCTTTGGGAGCATGACGAGGTTCTATTCCAAGACTTGAGGGACAACCAAATGCTACGTCCGAGAGCTGGTTTCCGAAAGATAGTCGCCGCTTGTCTTGTTGCCCAAGAGCGAATGCTCAATTACATCTGGATTGATACTTGTTGCGTGGACAAGGAAAGCGAGTCCGAACGAAGTGAAGCGGTCGAGTCCAGCTTCCGCATCTTCAGATCAGCGGCGTTATGCATTGCCTACCTGTCTGACGTTGAATCAGGACGGCCTATGCCGGCCGGGTATGTTTATTTGACCGACAGGAATCTTGATGATAATCTGGAGGGCAGATTTCGACACACTTTCAAACGCAGTAGATGGTTTACGCGGTCCTGGGCCCTACCGGAACTTATTGCTCCACCCGAGCTTGTATTCTACTCCCGTGGATGGGAACTCATCGGCACACGATCGGAGCTCCGGAATCACCTATTTGATATTACTGGTGTTGACACTTTTATTCTCCAAGGTGGCGATCTGGCAAAGGTATCCGTGGCCCGGAAGATGTTCTGGGCCACGAATCGCAATGCATATCGACTTGAGGACATTGCATATTCGTTGGCAGGTTTATTTGGCGTCGAGATGATGCCAATTTACGGAGAGGGCAACGTAAACGCATTCTTACGTCTGCAGGAACACATTGCGAAGACCGTCTCAGATCCAACCCTTTTCGCCTGGAGAAAAGATTGGCTTCAGAAGTTCACGACGTGGGATAAGTGCACAGAGCTTGTCAACTCAAGCCACCTCCGCGACTTTTTGGCAAGCAGTCCAAGTGCCTTTAGCCACTGTGGAAGCATGTTTCCCGCCATGGTCACCATTGACGACAAAGAGCCGAATCAGAGAGACTTCGATAACGACGATGACTCTGCGTGGGAAACTAGCTCTGTGGCATCCTTTCAATCTTCAGCAACCACTTTGATTGAGGGCTCAAGTTCGACACCGGTCACATCGGGCTTGGGCAACGCGATATCATTCTTGTCCGAAAATGATACCTTATGTCCGCTCTTCAAAGCGGCCATGCAAACGCCTGGAGTGGGACCCGACAGACTGCGGAGGAATCTGACCCGGATTCTGCGGTCTCTAGGCCTGGAACTGGCGGTAGAAGCGACAACCAAACTAGAGGCTCTGTCCGCAGTGTTTTTCCGTGTCTACCGGCTGGCAATTGCGTCAGGAGTCACTTCGAGAATCGCCGAAAAGAACCTCGAGCCAATCGCCCTCGACCAGCCGAGGACCAATAAGCTAGAGGATATTCCAGGCACTCTATCTGAGGACCCTCTTTCAGACGAAATCGCGCAGCTCGAGCAGGAAGATGATAACTTTGGCCAGGATGAAGGCGAGGATGTCCCCGAGGAGAAGGACGAACAAACGAACGAGTTGGACTTCGAATCTATCAGGGCCTTTGTTCTCTCCAGTGGGGCGTTTGAAAACATGACCAGAAGGCTGTCCGATTTCGTCAAACCTACTTTCCGCACCCTCGCCCAGAAGCTTGTTGCGAAGGTCCTCGAAGGCAAGGACACATTGGAGGACCAGTATTGGATCGGCATGAAGGATAAGATGCAAGTCGTGCTGACGGAGCTGGAAGAGTCGAGTCCTGAAAACGTGATGCTGGACGTCAGAAGCACACCAAAAAGGCTCGATGTATTCCAAACCTGGGTGGAAACTATGACCAAGGAGGATTGGGATTGGTGGCCGCTACCATCTCCCAAGTGTGCTTTGAGCTCCACTGAGGCGCGAGTTGGGTGGCGCTGTGTAAGTTCGACGCATCAATCACTCAGAGACTCATGTTGCTAACATTGCACACTCAGAGGTGCGGCATATCAAGATGGGAAACCGTGCCAGCGTCATTCGCAGGTAATATTGCAATGCTGCTGCTGAAGTATCCTCTCGCAAGCCGGAACCATACAGCCTCGGCAACCAACCCGGCATCAGACGCTCCGCCGACGTCTTCGAAAACCGATAACACCTCATCGCTAGGAACAAGATCCATCAAGTCTCCCAGCGCCAACGAATTATCAAAGCTGCCTGGCCCAATGTCCTCGCCTAGCCAGGAGAATCAGACTGGTCAAAAGCGCGATTATCCTCGGCCGAGGTACATCTTCTTGCTCGCGACCACGGGCCGGCATCGGCTCAGGCAACTACCCTCGCTCTACCTAGACACCGCAGACTTTGGCCAAGAGTTGCGAAAGGCGTACCGCGAGCTCAAAGGCTTCTGGAGGTGGTGGTTCTCGCCTTACAACTTCTCTCACTGCGAGTTTGTGCGTGTAAGTGATATCCTCTTCTTGGTCCTAAAGCGAGGCAAAGACAATAATAGACTCTTTCATATCACGGCCTCTCGGGATGGATAGTATAGTAGCCCGCGAGCCTGAAGAGCGATACTAAACTTTTGCCAGTTTGAAAGATTCTGCCGCAATGGCTTCGCCCACCGTGGCCTCGAAGTCCCAAGCACATCGCAAAAGGACTACTACTACAACCCGCGTCCCGCCCTTCGCGAACCCCCCGTCTCTCCCGAAGAATTCAGCCACGTGTTCCACTACACGGCCAAGAGCGAGTCTGTCCTCTGGAACTCGCTCGGCCTGCCGTTCTACGATACAGTGGAGGCGCTGAGCGACGACACCGTCGGCTGCATACCGCAGCGGTACCACTACCTCGACGAGCGGAGCAACCGCAAAGAGGACTTTTGGGGCCTGTATATCCGTCAACGACGGTCCGCGCTGATGACGTCGGTGTATATTCTGCTGTGCCTCTCGCCGTTCTTCGCGTTTTGCTTTTTGTACTTGTTTGGAGTTATTTCGGGAGATATACAGAATGCGACAACGCCGCTTGCGTTGGCATTGACTGCTCTTGGATTGTTTTTGGGATCTATGATTAAGTCTTAGGAGGGCAGACACTTACTTTCCGTGGCTTCAGCTGGATCATATGAAGATGGATGGTTGCTTGGCGTTGGAGTCTAATACCAGAAAAGGGTTGAGTCATTGTCACAGCTGGTGTGTCTCAGAGGTCGGTCCTCTTTTTCACCTTGTTACTTCACTTATCACAGAACCACTACCTTAAGGTTCAAAACGCGTGAAGAGTACGTGATCAACAAACAATGAAAGGACGTATGAGACAAGTTCATAATCTCAGCTCTGTGAGTGCAACACCATGTAGAGACCGGCTTTGATAAGTGCGAGGTAAGTAAGGATTAAGTGACCAGCCATTACATCGTTGCTGTACAAACACACAACCTGCACTCACTCATTCATGCATACCAAATTTCACTTATCCAACCGAACCTCTAACAAACACAACCAAAAATAGAGGAAAATTTTCACCAGAGACAATGATTCCAAGGACCGACCGCGATTCGAACGCGGGGCCTAGAGATAAACTGCGTTTAACTGCAATCTCTCGCTCTACCACTGAGCTATCGATCCTGGGGGGTAAGCGAGATGAAGGCTTAGTCATCTGGTTGATGGGGAAGGGGATGTCTCCATCGTCTCATGGAGACTTTGAAATGCAGCAAGGGGACACATAAGCGAAAGGCAGAGAGCGAGAGAAGCGAGTTGGGAAGTGGGAACCGCTGGTGTGGATGATGTGGTTACATGACACGCTTCGCCTGCAGACGTGAAGTGGGGGCTTTTTTTTTCCTGCTTAGCAAATTGTGCATATGTAACCATATGAACATGTTCATCATATGGAGGTGAGAAGGACGGGTGGAACATGAAGAAAACGAGACGAGGCGTGGGATACTTCACATTCACAACAGGACGAGTAACGGAGTGACGTGCGCTTGTGGGAAACTTGCAAGTGACATTTGAACACAAGTTTGATATTTCGGCTCCCAGTGCTAGCTCCTTCAACCTAGGGCTATGGTAATTAATGTACAGGGCGAGGCCAGTCTAAAACACAACGCTAGAGCTTTAGATACCCAAGGAGAACTCGACGCCGACATCAATGTCACGGGCTGGATATTTCAGTTAGTATGGGCTTCTTCAAGAACGAGAGTGTGGGGCGTTTCATGACTTACCCATCTTGACAACCTTGGACAGTTGCACAGCCTTCTCGGCGGCGGTCTGGAGGTCGTCGATGGAGAAGATCTTCATGCCAGAGTTGTTGATGATGTCGTGGGCGGCCTCGACGTTGGTACCCTGGAGACGGGCAATGATGGGAATCTTCAGGTTGAGCTCCTTGGAGGCGTTGATGAGACCCTTGGCGATGAGATCGCAGCGGACGATACCACCGAAAATGTTGACAAAGATGGCAGAGACCTTGGGGTCGCTCGTGATGAGCTCAAAGGCCTCCTTGATGGCGGCGGGGGTAGCACCACCACCGACGTCGAGGAAGTTGGCGGGGGTACCCTTGTTGAGCTTGATGATGTCCATGGTGGCCATGGCCAGACCGGCACCGTTGACGAGGCAGCCAATGTCACCGTCGAGCTTGATGAAGTTGAGGCCGGACTCGGCGGCGCGGACCTCGTCGGCGTCCTCCTGGGTGGTGTCGCGGAGGGCGAAGACCTCCTTCTGGCGGTAGTCGGCGTTGTCGTCGAAGCCGAACTTGGCGTCCATGCAGAGGACCTTGTGGTCAGAGGTCTCAGAGAGAGGGTTGATCTCGATCTGGGTGGCGTCCTTCTCGAGGAAGATCTTGTAGAGCTTCTGGATGGTGTCCTTGGCGTCCTCGATGCACTGCTCGCTGAAGCCGAGCTTAACGGCGATGTCGCGGGCGATCTCGTCGGTGACACCCTTGTTGATGTCAATGTTGGTGGTGATGATGGCGTCGGGGTTCTCCTTGGCGACGGTCTCGATGTCCATACCGCCCTGGGAGGAGGAGACGATGACGGGGGCCTGGGAGGCGCGGTCCATCAGGATGGCGAGGTAGAACTCGCGGCGGGCGAACTTGCGCTCGCAAATGTAGACGGAGCTGCAGAGCTTGCCGCCGGCGCCGGTCTGCTTGGTGATGAGCTTGTGGCCAATCATCTGCTCGGCGAACATCTCGGCCTCGGTGGGGGAGTAGATGACGCGAACACCGCCCTTGAGGCCGTTGTCGAAGGTGCCCTTTCCACGTCCACCGGCGAGGACCTGGGCCTTGATGACCATGTCCTCACCACCAATCTCCTTTGCGATGGCCTTGGCCTCGGCGGCGGTCTTCGCGTTGGATCCCTTGGGGACACCGACTCCATACTAGAAACGAAAAAGCGACCCGCACGTTAGCTATTGTTTTGGTTTCTCTATCGCGCTGAGCTGGCTGAGAAGCTCCTGAAAAACTGGCCCCCCCAAAAAGGAGTGGGGCCCCAATGTATCGCAGATTCTCTGGTGGGTGTGTTTACCTGGCGCAGAAGGTCGGCGGAGAGGTACTCGTGAATGCTGAGGTTTCTCCTTTGTTGCTGAGCAAGGCCCGGGTATCTGGGAGCGGCGACCTTGGAGGAAGTTTGGATGGCAGAAGCCAACCGGCTGCGTCCGAGCTTGAACATGATTGTGAAGGGGGTTTATGTGTTCGTGTCGCGAAGGACCGGGGGTGGTTTTCGAAGATCGGAGGAAGAGGGAAAAAACGTCAAGCGCGCCTGTCAATTAAATGACTGACAAGAAGATCCCGACGGGTGGGATGAAAAGGCGCGTGGTCGTAGGAAGGGAAAAGGAAGAGGACTGACGAGGAGTCCTTCGAGTGTGCTGTGATGCAATTGGTTTTGCAGGAAAGCGCTATCTCCAGCAATCTCAAACGGGAAAACCAGAGGTTTCTGGGCCGCGGGAATTCCCGGTCCTCTGGTTGGTTTTCGCTCGGAACAAAGCTTCAGCCGAGCTACAGGGTTCCACCGCCGCTTTTAGCTTCCAGCGGAGCTTGCTTCCTCCGCTAAAACCGTCGCCGTGTTTTCCTCTTTTACCCTACACATCTAACTTGGAGAAAATGCTTAAGCTGACCTGACTACTCCCGATGTATTAGCTCATGTCTTCGATTCTCTTCAACTAAGGTATTTCCCAGTCCAGAGTATCATCTTTCCATCGTTGGCCGAGGCACGGGATAGCTTCGTCGAGAAGTTAAGGTCGAAGTCGGAGACCATCCGGTAAAGCGGCCGAAAGTGGCCCGAGCTCCGAACCCGTGCACCTGTCAAGACGTGTCTGCACTGCTGCAGGAAGCTGCATCTGCAGGCTCATCATGTGGCGTCATTTCTTCACCTGGACTTTCAGACATTGCTGGGATCCAGCTTTCTGCACGCTGCCAGGCGACTCCAGGAACAGCACGTCCAGTTGTACTAGTATTGTTGAAAGACTCACGGATACACTTGAACAAATTTTGACCAACTCGGCCCAACTCGAACTTGCCCTTTCTTGAGCGCCATTGCGCATAACCATATTGCGGCATAATGGCAACCGAGATGAACCCTACCTATCCAATCGTCTTGTCTTATTCGGTACAGGTGCCTTCTTGACGACATTGTCGTATTTTTGGAACCGAGAAGTCGTACCTAGGACGTTAAAATCCGCTCGATGGCAGTGTTTTAACCTACTACAAAGTAAGCGACCATTGATGAAGTTGTCAAATGTTGTAACTTACAGAACTCATCTCCTTATGGGTTTGGCATGGTACCAGAGCCGGCTCTTCACGACGTCTAATCCATCCACTCTACCATTCGCGCGGCCGCTTATCCGGTGGACGTAGGACTCAAATGCCATGCTAAAGATCCAGCAGAGAGCCTTACATATGACCACTTTCGGTGCGAGCTACTGGCTCTGGTACAACACTGACTACGACTGACCATGACTGGCATACGTGGACCAGGACGTAGACGGGCCGGTCTTGCGCCAAGATCCACTGAGCCACGAGTCTGCTCAGTATGATGATGGGCAAGGCTTTCCTCAATCGTCCCAACCATAGTCGCATCCTTCGGCTAGCCAACCACCATGTGCTGATATCCGCACGAGCTTGATCCAGCCTCCTCGCGGTAGTCAATCCCGCAGCTCGAATAGTCTCCTTGGCAATCGATAGCAGGCTGCCGGCGGATTGCAATGTTCTGCGCAGCCAAAGGCGTGATGGCGGCTTTCCTTCTTGGTGGGAAGCGGTGGCTGCCGTGCTCTTGTTGTCGTCGTCCGTAGGCGTTATTGCTGAGGGCTGGACGTAGCAGGAGAGCTGGTACGAGTGGTACTCCTCAACGTACTGGATATCGGACGCATCGCTCTCGAATTCCGATAGCTTGCAGAAGGGGTTCTGTGGTAGTGTTGTTGAAGAATTGTAGGTAGTGTTTCGCGCATTTGTATGGCCCCAGTTGCTTCGTGCCGGACAATACGAAGGCCGCTGGCACACATCCATCTGGGTTGAGCTTCGTCCTTCCCAGCACAGCATTTCACTGATATTGATTGTCAGGGTTCAGGTTGTTGAGCTGGGTTGCCGATCGGCTGTGATGTAGAGGTCAACCCATCTTAATGCATTAATGGGTAGTAGTGAAGGGCGAGGCGAGACTTTAGACGTTCCACTCCCAAAGGCGGCAGTTCTTTACGTATCTAGGCATGACAGCCATTGAATCCGGTAGAAGCCTCAACGACTCTAGGCTGCTCTGAGTTCAGCAAAGGTCCTTGGGTAAGCAGGTGCTGTTAAAGACTCACTCATCATAATGCAATTCTAGTACTTAGACTAGAAGAGACGCGAACCTCAAAAAGTAAGAGCATGCCTAATGATTCTGCTGCATATTAGGTACTAGAATGAAAGAAGCGATGTAGGAGTTGTCTTAGCAAGCCTAGTTGCAAATTTGGGAAGACCTCTGCCTTTGATCTGATATGACTACCATTTTGTCTCAGCAACACTTGTTGCTTTGAAGTCGCTCAGTAACTGGTTCAAATCCGATTTCTTCAAAGGAAAGACGGACCGAATGGTAATTGGCAAAGAAGAGTAGAACAAGAAAGACATCAACAGTCAAAAGCGTCGGGCCGGAAGAACCTATATCATCAAATTGGCTCCGATGCGACGCCGGACGTAGTGATCAGGCCATTCCACTCCGCAAATCCCAGGACCCATCTCCGAGATCCCTCCAGCCACAGCATCTGTCGGCACAGAATGGGTACCTTTTCGGCTATTGCGATTCTCGGATGAAGGGGCGCCAACAACAACCGTCAAACGGAAGGGGAATGGATCCACCATGAGGCTCAACAGACATGTCGTTCCCGGCCCGCGGTTAACTCTCTTAAATTCCTCTCGAGATCCCAGTCGTCGTGACCGTTTGGCCTTACATACCCTTGCCACGGGAATAGCGTTCCCATGCATCTCTCCCGTTTCTTGAATTTTCTTAGCTTGCATGCTAGCGAAAGGCCCTCCCGGCGGACACTTCCCGAAACTTGCCCATATTTATTACCTCTTACCAGGGTCGATGACGCGAATTTTGCTTTTGTTCGGGATGATTTCTTGACGGGGTCTGGACTCTGGTGTTGCGGTTGATGGAGATAACCGTCATTTCTTCTCGCCACTTATTCCCGGGTTTTCTCCTTCGCGAAGACACCTCCAAAAACTTCGGGAGACCAAATATTATTCTCATTCTTTCCGTTTCCGAGCAGAGACACCAGGCTGAACGTGTCCGCTAGCTTCCGTTTGATGATCACCCGGATGATCGGCGCCTTACAAGTTGCAGTCGCGAAATCGTTGTCGACGTCGCAGCCACAACCACAACCTCGCAACGACGAAGACCGCGAAACAGTTTCAAGTAAGACACTGCTCAGGTCTTATCGCACGGCCAGTAATAGAGAGACGAAAGAAAAAAACTGTTGATTCCATGATGGAATAGGCTCCACATCGTATGTTGGCCGTAGGAACAACAAGGAAAAGCGGGCTCTAACATTGCGAAGACTCTCCGAACCAGTCCCGAGCCAACTTCAAGGTGAGGTGAGAGGACGTGGGAGGCGATTGGTGAAGCCGCGAATGTGACTAACCCAACCGGTACGTGCCCTCCATGAACCTCACAAATCTCGCGACTAACTTGTACCTAGACCGATTTCCTCTCCTTTCCTCTCAAACTTTTACGACGCTGTTTTCTTCAAGATTTTGCCAGCCTTCCTGGACTCGAGTGAGCCTTGGAGATAAGACCAACCAGCGCCTGCAGTCTTTCTTGATAGCGTTCCCAAGGAAGCGAGACGCACATGGCATCGAACTTTAGAGGTGCGCCGGCGGCAGCAGCCAGCCCGGTGCTAGCTACTTAGGCAAGCGCCCAGTCGAGATTGTTCTTCGTACACCTCGCAGCCGGGGCGTCGAGCCTTTGCAAGTGTGAAAGCCGTCCACTCAGCTCAGCTTCACATGCAGGTAGGTCATGGGTATTAAATCCAGGGGTCCCACAAGACCGTCTTTGACCTGGGCTCGGCCGGCCGTGGTCTCGGAGGTCATTCATCGTGGGTATATAATCTCACTGGGGCCACCATTCCCCCAGAAGTCTCCCTCCCCCGTCTCAATTTTTTGTCTCCATCTCCAGTTCTGTTTCATTGCCTTCGTTCCAAAGGTCTTTACGCTTTCTTGTCAAGGGGGTCACCGTTTGACCTTTACCAAGTCCAGTCGATCTCTACTTATACCCACATACACATTCATACCCATAGACCTTCTGGACTTGGTCCTCTGGCTCCTTGATCCCTTCGTTCTCCTTCATTTCTCAAGCTCCAACAAGCTCCAACATCAAAATGTCTACCCAACAAAAGCCCCTCAGCTGGTGGAAGCGCCACTGCACCCCGCCGCCAGCCATCAACCGAACTCCCCAGTGCCCCTGCTCCGCCTGCTGGAACGGCAACGGCGAGCACTGGAAGACGACCGTCCCGCAGACCACGGCGCCGGGTTACATGTCTATTTCGAGCCCAGCAACAACAAATGAGACGCGAACGATGGCTCTGCGACGAGAAACGGAATCAGACCTGACTCCACTCCGCCGCGAAGAGACATCCTCGACGACGAACCTCAGCGTCTACTCCCAAGACAGCAACGCCAGTTCAGACCGCGCCTCTGTCACCAACGTTCACCGCCTAGCCCTGGGAAAGGAAATCGTCTAAGAAGTTAGGGAAGGCAGAAGGAGGGAGGGAGATGGGGGATGGAGGGGAAAGCGAATGACAATAACCCGAGCAAAGCTGACTACATCTGGGCCACATTTACCCCGGGAAGTGGCATCTTGGCGTTGGGGGAGTCTGGACCATTCTTTCCGACAATTTCTCTCTACTTTTGTCGCTCAAGCAAGGCCGGCACGTCCTTTCATTCAGGCAGGTTGGATTACAACCCCTCAATCCTGCCTCGGACGCCAAGACGCTTACTATCGTCAAGAGCGTCGTCGTTCTCGCAAGCTGCACAAGCGACGGCCCAGAGCACCAGATTTAGGGTTTGAGATGCCAGATAAGGGGTCCTTGGGTCGCAGTTGTTGGACGAACTGGGAGCGACGCCGGCGGGCGTCCACACCCTAGCTTGTGTTTAGCGGGGGTGGTGGACTGGTCCCGTTGGGCTGGTGAGATCTCAATCCTGGGGAAGTGATAGGATGGGGTAAACAGAAACATGCTCTTGGGTCTTGGCCCTTGGGTGTGGTGCCGTGCCGCTGGTGGTTGGCGTGCTAGCTATCTCGCTTTTGGCTTGAGGTGGGCTTGGAGAGTTGGGGTAATGACAGGCCTGACCAGGCATGGTATGCCGGGGGGTTTTTGGCTCCCTCATGTCAGCCAGTCAGGCGGGACGGGGAATCAGCCAAATGAGGTTCCCTTGGTTGGTCCGGTGGTCTCTCGGGAAGCTGTGACTTGGGATGTTATGTCAAGACGATAGATACCACGAGATAGAGAAGGGTGCTTTTGGTGTTGGTACACTGCGGAGGGCGTTACTTTTGCAGCCTCAGGGATTTCATTTTGCTAGTTTAATAAACATTTCACCGAAGACTTCGGCATCCGGCTTTCCAGTATGATTGAATCTCATGTTTCGAAAAACTTTCAGTTTTCGATTTTCCTCTCCTCCTCCTGCCTACCTTATAATCTCAGAGAATCGTTTCAAAGCTTTGGCGGAGCATCTACGGCCCCATCACGGCCCCGTTATTGTTTGGTCGGTCAGGAACATGACCCCACCATTGCACCGGGAGCCGAATCAGGCAATTTTGGAGCAACAAACTATGAAAACAGCACGCAATAGCTTTTAAGAGTGACAACAGCGGCACCCAAAGGCGAGCTACAACGAAGGTAGTCAACAAAACAAAAGTATAGAACCCTTCTGAGCTACAAGCACAACACCGGTAGTGCAAGCTGCAAAAGACAAGGACCGACCGCGATTCGAACGCGGGGCCTAGAGATAAACTGCGTTTAACTGCAATCTCTCGCTCTACCACTGAGCTATCGATCCAAGTGGTGATTGGATGTGGGAAGAGAGGCCGCCGCAGCGTTCAAGTCGGGCGAGAAGACACGGTGGCTGCAAATGACAAACAGAATGGGCCGTTGTGGGGCTGAGAGGCATGCATCTGGCGGCATGTCAGTCACAGTGTGGAGGCTGTTGCTGTTCTACGTCACTCGGAGCTCACCCCAATGGTCTGAGTAACATGTAACTTCGGTGAGCTTCAGAGCTCAACTTTGATTCACACAAACCATCAGCCTGTCAAACCAGACTTGACCGAGTCAATCTCACACATCTTGAAAATGGCACCAAATGTAGATCCAGCCATTCTCGAAGCTCTTCAGCTTAATCCCGAACAGACCAAAATCGCGTCCCATGGCGGCTCCGGCTTTGCATCATCCTTTAAACTCACGTCCGTCATCGATGGTCAGCCCACCAACTTCTTCGTCAAGACGGGCTCTGGGAAAGATGCTGAAGTCATGTTCAGAGGTCCGTGAAACCTGGCTGAAATGGAGAGCAGTCTGGTGAAGAAACACATCTGCACTCGATTTGGCATCCAAAGCTGTCTGAATGTAGGAGCATTGACACTTCCCGCAGGCGAACATGAATCGCTAAACGCAATCCACAATGCCGTGTCGAATTTCTGCCCAAAGTCGTACGCCCACGGGCGATACCAGTCATCGCCGGGCACATACTTCCTCGTCACAGATTTCTTGGATCTGGGATCATCGGCACCTGGCGGATCCGGCCTGTCACTGGCCGCGAAGCTCGCCAAGATGCACACGACCCCGGCGCCCGTCCCGGAGGGATTAGATAGGCCCATGTACGGCTTTCCCGTGAGCACCTGCTGCGGCTCGACGCCGCAGGATAACGCGTGGAAGGAGACGTGGGCCGAGTTCTACGCCGAGAATAGACTGCGCGGGGTCTTGCGCGCGGGGATCAGGAGGAACGGCGCAGATGGAGAGTTGTCTGAGGTCGTGGAGACCGTTGCGAGCCGGGTTGTTCCGCGGTTGATCGGCGACGGCCGCGTCAAGGGGATCAGGCCGGTGGTGGTCCATGGGGATCTATGGAGCGGTAACCACGGCCGGGGCCAGATTGCGGGCAAGGGCGGCGCGGAGGAGGTTGTCTACGATTCGTCGGCCGTGTACGGGCATGCGGAGTACGAGCTGGGCATCATGAAGATGTTTGGCGGCTTCGGGAGCGGGTTTTGGAACGAATACAATAA